TTTTTTTCGCCACGTAATGCAAAAGCGTCTTATTGCTAGAATCAAATGGAACGGTGCAGTTCCATTGAAAGCCCCGAGGCCTTAAAATAAGATCATAACAATCAAAATAAGACCACGACGATCTCAATTTGAGTATTTGAATGTTGCAAGTGAGAATCATTTTGTATGTGGAGGACAAAGGCTGGAAATCAAAGTAGATATCAAATGGAAGAAGTATAATAAATTTCGCATAAACAGGACTAAACTTACTACTATCATCAATTCCCTTCCCTCTGTTCACCACCTTCTATGTCCTTACGAATCGCGCGAAGATCACAAAGCGTCAAATAGATCCGTTTCATTCCGATCGAATCGGTTTGATCATCCTGGAAGTTTGTTAACGTCAATTTGTCGCGACGCGATATCCTCGAGACATTGTTCGAAGATAAAAACAAAGGGGAGAGGGGGGAGAAACATCGACAATGGCTCGTTCGTGTCAAGGTTTATCGGCGTAGTTGATAGTTGAGGCGGGAATTTCGAAGATTCGCTATCAATGACGCGACAAACGCGATAAGCTCGAAACCACCGGCATAGTCATAGAATGGGTCAGACAGTAAATTTTCAATGCGCGTGTTCGATACGGGTCGATACGATTCACTTGGAAACAGAAGCTGTTATGAGGGATCTGCGAGTGTTTCCATTCGAAGATTCGTCTGCCTTTTAAAAATCCTCCGGGTAGATATCCTTCTGTTTCTCTGATGGATTCTCGTTAGTGCACAAGGAATAACTGTTGTTCCTTCTAAAGCTTGAACAATTGTAACTGAACAGTGTTGAAGAGACTCAAGTTTTAAACTCGTGAAGAAGCGTTTCCAACGATGTCTCGCTTATAAATAATTTTAAAAGATTATTGAGTAACTTGTTGACTGTTTCAGGTTCGAAATATTCAGGAATCATTGGCGAATAACGTTTCACTTCGAGTTGTCCATCATTTGATCATCAAACGTTGTAGCCTAAGGATAATACCATTGCGTGTATTAGTTTAACAATAATTTTTAAGTGATTTATCTGTTTGAAAGGAATGGAAGATACTAGTTGAACTAATCCCTCTGGGATAAATGTGGAAGTTATGCAACTCTTATTCCACTGAACGAATAGGCATCTCTGTTCGGCGTCGAACGTTACGCAGATGCTTTGAAAAGCTTGCAATAACCAGTCACGTCGGCTCGAATCCACGAAAGATACGACCTCATTTCGCCGGAAGTCCGCTGCAGAACGTTCGTAGAATCGCGGCAGTAGCAAGCAACAATGAGAATTCCTATCGATCACGTTCCCCCGGCTCTAATATTAAATTTTCCGGAAGCTCGCTTATAAACGGCTCGCTTATAAACCATTCGATGATATTAAAACCGCTACGCGAGAAATCCATCACGACGCGTCAACCCTATTCCCGAGCCTCTTGTGAATTTTAAATTTTAAATAACCATTCGCGAATAAATATGCTCTTATTTTACAAGATAAGTCTTGGTCACGTCTGTCGAAAATATGATCTTACGAATGTTCTATCAAGATCTCGAGAGATCTTTATTAATCCTTACAAAGTTTTCTCTGTCGTCAGATTCGTTATTTTATTGTTTCCTTAAAATCTTCAGAATATTGTTCAAGTTTCTCGAAATAAATTATAAACGTCTAATCTATGCCTGCGACTAAAAGTAACATTTTTTTCTTTTCGCACAGCTTTGCGTCGGATTTTATTTTGATTGCAATGGCAGGAAAACCATGACTTTCGAAAGGGTGAATTTTAATTGTGCTAATCTCGAGCGTGAAACTGTTATTTCTTCACTAGTTAAACATTCTATCTCTTCATCGCCTATCAATATTAAAAAAAAAAAAAAAAAAAATTACCTACGAAGAAACAAACTGGAAAGCAATTCCCTGTGTGTTATTGTAGGTCGTTAAAACTCGCGAATAGCGTAACAAACGACTGTGTTGCTGGCTGTAACAGTTGATCGAATGAAACGCAGCGGGCGCGAGAGATGCTGTCGCTGCTGGTGAAAAGCCTCGTTCCGGCTATTATTCGTTGCACGGTGAACGATCTGCAAATTCGCATTAAACGACCGTGATAATTGTCCGTTGGCGGGAGGACAGGTGGGTTGTGAAATTACGGGAGTACGCTCGAGACGAGCGAAAAGCCGCGCAGGGTCAATGACAAACTAGTTTCACTAATGAGAAGGAGATACCTACCTCGGCGTCTGACTTTTCTAATTATTACCTCGCCGCGTGTTTGCGCTCGTCGAGACTGAGACGTGTGTGAAAAACCTGAAAACCGTGCACGATACGCCTGAATGAAAACGAAAACACGGTTGTCGATATATATCCCGGTCGAACAATACACAAGTTACAAGTTGAAACTGGAGAGACTTCTTTCTCTCCTTTGCACCGTGTACCGTGCAATTTCTCCCTGTGTCTTCTTTTCTTCTTCTTCTTCTTCTTCTTCTTCTTCTTCTGAATTTTACAAAAGAGTGATTTTGAAGCGCAATATTAACATATTGTTACCTGTTAAACATTGGAAAAATATTAATAATGTTGGAATTAATAAATACGGATTAATTGGTTGCCCACCCGCATTTGTTTCAAGATAAAAGTTCCCGATAAAGGATTAAAAGTCATTTAAATAAAGTCGATCTTTTCGCACGAATAACGGAAAACGTGAATTATATATTGATAATAAATGAGAATCAATTTTTAACGAGCTTAATTGAATCATCGTTGAGAAAGAGATAATAATGATGTTGCGTGCGTACGGCTATAATTATCGAATAATTATATCGAGTATACGCAAAATGGTGGAATAATCGTTTTACGGTGGCATTAAGCCTTTCAATTTGGTACACCGTTAATGTAATATTGGACAATTAAGCTGCCAAAGAGGAATAATATATTCTCTCTTTTCATGACAACTCGCGAAATAATACCCCAATGATATTTCCCTGATATAATTTAATTAAACGGATTTCAATGAAATCGAAACACCGACAAAAAAAAAAAAAATCATGAGGCTTCGCTGATCTGATTAAAGTTTCAAATCACTGAACGAACCGCCGCGCACATATAAAATGTCGACAAAATCAATAATACGATCTGTATGATAAACGACGTGTCTGTGCTGCTTGTTTCAGGTGCTGTAGAATGCAGCGATACGAAGCGCGGTGCTCGTCCGCGACGAGGCGATGAAAAGGCTGAATGGAGGCCGAGGAAGCCTCAGAGCCCCCTGGGGCTCCGACCAATGTTCCCTCGTCAAAGTACAGCGAGATGAATCGTAGTCGCGCACCGCAGCCAATCTAAACTGTCACCTGTTCCAATTACTCTTGCCGATCTCCACCGGAACCACAACTGAAGACACAAAAGAAGAAGCAAATAAATCCACCATCGTCAACCAACGAAACACGAGCGAAACTGTAATACTTGTTGAAGAACGATCTTGAAGAATTTACATACCTGATCAATATATAAACTATACATACATACACACACACACATATATATATATATATTTATCCAACTAGCCTAGAAAGATAAAGTTCTTCGTTGACACGGCCTCTCTTTACTTCCTATTCAGACGCACAAGTTGCTTCAAATCGACAGACTCTCGTGCTTAATACGAACGTAGACCTCGCGACGAAGCTCCTCCATTGAAAGAATCCTGAGCAACGAAAAAAAAAAAAAAAAA